ACACTTCACTGGGATGCCCGGGGAGTCCACAGCTGGCTTGACGTCGGGCATGTCACTCTACAGGAGAATATTCAGAAATAGTCAAAAAAATAATATGGGGACGATTTGTTGGAGCATTTGCTGATTATTTTGGGGCATTTGGGGGCGTTTTGGGGGTATTTAAAGATTTTTGGCCCTAGATCCCCCTGTAGGGGGGCATGCCCGACCTAAAGCTGGCTGTATGATTCTGCCCGCTCCTGCTGCGTCCTCTTTGTGTGGTCTTTGGTGCTTCTCAGTCTCGATGGTGACTGTCTTTCGATCCTCGAGTCACTCGGGCCCACTGATCGCACGACCACAGCTTCCTGGGGGATGGGCTGTGTACTGATTGTATCTGAGGCGATGTGCTCAGTGACGGGGACCACTGTCCGCTCGAGCCAAATACTTCGCAGGCGTTCGGATAGGTTTATTTCCCCACTGCGTGCTTCGTTGGTCCTTGAGATGTAGCATTCCCCTCCCCGCCCCCCTTTGCGGTCCATTATATGCTTCGCAGTTTCCTGATCGAACAGACGACCAGAGGATTGGGAATACTGGGAGGGAGTGTAAGCGCAGGAGGAGGCGGAGAAGGAGGAGGCAAAGGACAAGGATGGGGAGAGAGATGATGAAGGGGAGAGATGAGATGAACAGGATAATTACGGAGGAGGAGGAGGAGGAGAAGGTGGATGATGAGAAGGTGGTAGGTTCAGGAGGGAGGAGGAGGAGGAGGAGGAGGGAGGAGGAGGAGGAGGATGAGGAGGAGGAGGATGAGAGGGAAGGGGAGGAGAAGGCAGGAGGAGGAGGGGGAGGAGGAGGAGCCGCAGGGGGAGGAGAGGAGGAGGAGGAGGAGGAGGAGGAGGAGAGGAGGAGGAGGAGGTGCCAGCGGAGGATGAGGAGGAAGAGTAAGAGGGAGAAGGAAGGAGGAAAAATGACAGCATAAGGAAAATGAGGAGGATGAGGAAGAGGAGGAGGAGGAGCAGGGGGAGGATAATCTATTATGGAGGGGGAGGAGGAGGAGGAGGAGGAGGAGGAGGAGGAGGAGGAGGAGGAGGAGGAGGAGGAGGAGGAGGAGGAGGAGGAGGAGGGTAATGGAGGAGGAGTATGAGGGAGGAAAGCCCCAGGAGGGGTGCCTTGGCGTGCGGCCGCCGCCAAGGCGTGGCTTGCGTGGGGGCTGCACGGCAGCCGGGAGGGCTGGTGCTCTGGGGGTCCGTCTGCTGCGCCCTCCCGGCCGTTTCCAGCATGGGGTGGGCAGGCTCGGGCTCCAGGGCCTAACCCTTTTCTGCCGTGAGGGCACCCGTCCTCCAATCGGTGTCCGGACCACGGAGGAGGGAAAGGTATCCGTACCGCTACCCTGGGTTTGTTTTCCCTTCTTGGGGGGCCTCCTCGGGGGCCCTCGTGGCCACCGCTGCCTCGAAATCCCGGCGAGAACGCACCACGGTGAGAGCTCTGGGGCGTAGCGGCATCGGTGCTTTTTGGTTTCCTTGGGACTGGCCCATACGGTGTTCAGTTTGCGTGGGGACGGGCTCCGTCCCGTGATTTCGGGCTCAGGGGTGCGGGCGGGGTGGCTCGGCTCGAAGGGGGCGCGGCTCAAGGGCAGGCACACGTGGCTGCCTGCATCCGACTCCGTCGGGCGTCGTGATTGGGTAACCTGAGTCGCCGACTTTTGCGGAGGCGGTGGCGAGGGCGGCGCGAGGGGCGTCGTTATTCGAGCACGCGGTCCCCTCAGCCGCACAGGAGGCGGACGTGAGTTCGCCAGCAGGATTCTGTCGTAACGTTGTCGTTGGGCCTAGTTCTGTTTGAAGGGGTGGGAGTGGGGGGACTCTGCGTCATCTACGCTACTTTGGGCGTTGATGCTGTACAGGGTCGATCCCCTTTCGCCTGAGCATAGCTCTTCACCGCCTGCTTCTTTTCTGGTCGTGATGCTATTGCGGCAGTGAACTTGGTGTGAATGCCTTCGGCGCACATATGGAGGAGGAGGAGGAGGAGGAGGAGGAGGACCAGTGTAAACCCAAGAGTCATCAGCGATGTTGCGATAAACCCTCCATCCAAGCTCCCTCTTCATAGGCCCCTACAACGGTTCATTTCCACTGGGGGAACTGCTCCGTTGGAAGACAGCCGTGAGAAGAGCGCAAGCCTGCCGCAACATTATTCTCTGGGCTCCAACGCCACTGATCAGCCTGACTGTTGCGTCTTGACGATCCTGGGTCGTGCTGGGACGCCATTCCTGGGATGTCGGCACCACGAATCAATGTTACTGTTGCGCCCTCATGATCCTGAATATTTCCAGTACGCCATCCTGGTACGTTTACCATGGGATGCCGCGAAACTCTTGCAAGTTTAAAGAAAAAAATGCGCTGCGTTCAGGCGAAAGCCACATTTTGAAAGCGACCCGGCCTCAATCCGTGAAGCTCTTGCAAGTGTTTAAACTAATGCACGCGGCGCTAAAGCGAGAGCCACATTTTGATAACGACCCGGCCTCAATCCGTGAGCTACTTGCAATTGTTTTAAGTTTATGTGCGAGGCGCTCAAGCGAGAGCCACAGTTTGAACATGACCCGCCAACAATCCGTGAAACTCTTGCCATGTATTGAATATCAGGTGCGCGGCGCCAGCCACATTTTGAAAACGACCTGCCTTTCATATGTGAAACCGTTGTCAGTGTTCAAGTCTCAGGGCCATCAATGGTGAGGATGTCTCAGGCGAAACTCCCTGCCCGCCCTTTCGACCGGCCTCGGGGTGCAACACGGAGAAGTTGCTTGTAAGGAGAAGGGATGGAGGAGCAGAATGAGGAGGAGGAGGAGGAGGAGGAGGGAGGAGGAGGAGGAGGAGGAGGGGAGGGACAGCAAGAGGAGGAGGAGAGGCAAGAGGAGGAGACGGGAGGAGAGGAGGAGGAGGAGGAGGAGGAGAAGGAGAAGAAGAGAAGATAATGGAGGAGGAGTAGGAGGAGGAGAAGGAGGAGAAGGGAGGAGGAGGAGGAGGAGGGAGGAGGAGGAGGAGGAGGAGGGAGGAGGAGAGGAGGAGGAGGAGGAGGAGGAGGAGGAGGAGGACGAGTACGCAGTAGCAGCAGGAGAAGGAGGAGGGAAAAGCGAGGAGGGAGGGCGAATTAGGGAGGAAGAAGGAGGTGCCTGTCGGCAGCAGCCGGGCAAGAAGGCCCTGCCCGTGTGGCAGCCAGGGCGGCGGCGGGGTGGCCAAGTCGACGGCGCGGCGCCCGCGCGAGGCCTGGGGCGCTGCCGGCTCTCCCCTGCGGCCGACGCCTCGCCCTCGCAGCGTCTCGGTGCGATCGAAACGGCCACAGAAATCAGTGTTGGCCTAACCCCGGGGGCGGCCAAGGGGGGGGGTGATGTTTACGGGGGGGGGATATCCTGGCTTGGGCCATGAGATCTCCTCAGATTTCATGGCCGCTCTGAGTTCAATACGTCCCCGGCCCCCCCGTGGGCCGCGCACATACCGCCGGCCATGGTCGGCCTGACCTAGGGGAACGAAGAAGAACATTAACATGACAACTCGGCGGTCCGCGCGGATTTCTCCGATCCGCGCTGGAGCTCCCTGGCGGCGCCTCCAGCGCCGCCCCAGGCGCGCCCCGCGCGCCAGGGAGGGGGGTCCAGCGCCGATCCGAGAAATCCGCGCGGACCTCAGAGTTTTTATGCTTACGTATGTCATTATTCAGGCCTCTACCCTAGGCCCTAGCAGGCAATCCCTTCCGTGACGTCCGCCTCGCCTCGCCCCCAGACGGACGTGTGCGGCCAGAGGGGGGCACGAGAGGCGAGGATGGCGCCACGGAAGGAGATGATTGGTTACGGGTCGGTTCGGCCGTCCCTGAGGAAAGATTGGATGCGAAGACCGATTGCAGTTCCTGCTCGTTCTGGCGCAGGGCGCGCGGTCGGTGTCCCCGTGGATGGTCAGAGGAGGACAGGTGCCCATACCTGCTACCCTGGCCTCGCTTTCTCGTTGCTGGGCCTCCTCGGAGGCCTACGTCTCGCGTGTGTTGTAGGGCATCGTGCCCTCTGTTCAGGCGGCCAGCGTGCCAGCCCTAGCTCGGAGGCCTGGGTCACGCCGCACGGGCGCGAAGATGACCGGGCTTCGCGCGTCGCGGCCCGGGCTGGAGACCTGCCCCTCCTCCATGGTGGGCGCGGGGGGGGCGCGAGCACAGCCGCGCGGAGTGCAGCGCGATGCTGCAGCTCGGAGGCTGCCGTGCACCACGTGTACAGCTCGGAGCGTTTGGACCGCGTGTTGCTCCACTTCAGAAGGGGACAACCCACCCCCAGTCCCGAGTCCCATCCCCGAGCCGGCGAATCAAGGGGTCGGGACTTGGGGGGCGGGCGGTTTCTTTGTCCTTAGGCCCCGTAAGGCCCACCCCCACCCCCAGTCCCGCCCCCCTGGATCGCGGGTTCGGGGACGGGGTATAGGGACTGGGGGTGGGGGTGGGTTTTCGCTTGCTCGCCACTAGCTCTGGCCCAGGGCTGGACTCGACCTGAACGCTGTTTTGCTGGAGTTTGGCTGTGTCCTGTTTTTCGTTTTGGCAGGGAGGTGCAGGACAACAGGTAGAACAAGACGAGCAGCAAAACGAACACAAAGCGAAAAACAACGTTTAGGTCCAGCCCTGCTCTGGCCCACCTTGCTTCGGCGCGACGCGCTAACTCCACGCTGCGGTCCCTGGGCGCCCGCGTCCCGAGCTTCTCCCACCCCCCCGCCCCGCGAGGCGGAGCGACACACGCTGTCCGCTCGCAGGGCACAGCGTGCCGCCGGGGCCGCCGGGGCGTCGCGGTGACCCCAAGGTAAGGCGGGCATGTCCCTCTGCAGGAGGGATCTTCACAGAACAGTCAAACAGAACAGTCTGGGGACGATCTTTCTACCATTTCTGATCATTTTGGGTTACTTCTTGACTAGTTTTCATTTTCATCCAAAATCCGCCTGTAGGGGGACGCCCGACCTAAATCCAAAGTTTCCGACCGTAGCAGACGACGGCGCTCGGGTCATCCGACCGAGGCCATGTGCTACAGCGCTGTTGTGCAGGCCTTGGCACGCGCAGGGGAGGTCGAGGAGGCCAGGAAGCTGTTCGAGGAGGCTGCGAGCTCTGGGAAGGACCTGAGCAGCGGCAGCCCGGGGCGATGCCAAAATCTTCAGAATCGGCTCTGGGTTCTAGACCTCCAAGATGGGGGGTCGGAGGATCGCGCCGCATCGCCGATGCATCGACGATGCGGCTCGATGCAGAGCCCGATTTTCTCCACGCCGACGTCGCCGATGCATCGCCGATGCATGGCCGATGATCGCCAATGTATCGTCGATGCGGCCCGATCCTCTGACCCCATCTACTCGGACCCCACTCAGGAGGCCTGCGTGGTGCAAACAGCTTGATGCCGCGCAGATTTGATTTTGTCTGAGGCATGTTGAAGCAGTTCGACATGCGATATCAGTTGGCCAGCATGGTTTCTGCACTGGGCTAGAGAGAGAGAGAGACTCAGCTCGTCTTTCTAAATCGAATATGGTATCTTTGGTGCGGTGATGTGTACTCTGAGATGCTGTTCCGAGAAGCTGGACACATGTATACATAGAGCTTCCTAATGCACAGACACTCGTATGGCGGTTTTGAGAGCAGTGGCCAGATGCTTCGAGGTCCAGAGCAAATACCAACAGCAATTGTATCATACAAGGGGTATCCCAGCCCCAATCCATGCTAGGTATATTCAAAGTGCGATAGGAATTCAAATCGAATCGGAGGAAGGTTGGTCCGTATTTGGTGTTATCATGAAACCGGGAACTCATCGCGCGGCGCATTTTTGGCGGCACGGTGCATGGTCAATTGGCTAGTGGAGTGCGGCTGAAACTAGACTTGAATGTGGCCGAAATTGCATGGGAGATCTCAGGCACGGGTGGCCCCTTGGCCAGGATACGCGATGCGTTTGATGTTCTGAGCTCAACCTGGAGCGAAGAGTCCAATCATGACTTGCATCAGATTTAGTGTAATTCTCATCATGTGCTGCGACCCGGTGCTTGTTTTAAGGCCCTTTCCTCGATTACGCGATGGCGGTTGAACGAGGTCCCATCGCCTGACCCCATGTGCCAGAGTTCTTCTTTGAGTTTTAGGTCTTTCAACATAAGGTGGCACTCTCTGGTCCCAGGCATAAGGTCTGGTGGATGTCTTCATGTCGTGTTCGACTGATTCTCTCTGTGGGAACATGTCTGTCGTCGTGTCACCGTTTTCGTTTGTATCGAAGGTGGGGTCTCAGGCTGGGGCCTCCGAGATAGTTGCCTGGGGGCCCGCGCGGCCTTGGGGAGTTTGTCTTCCCGCTCGCCAAGCTGCTGCCGGTTCGCGTGGGGTGGGGTGGGGGGGGGGCGGCGGGGGCGGGGTGGGGTGTGGGGGGGGGGTCGTTCCTGCTGATGAGGGCCCCCGTCGCCTGCGGGGCGACTGTTCGAAAGGAGAGCTGGTGACCGTGAGTTTCGAGAGCAAGCAGTGCGCTCCCGGGCCATGCGGCGAGCGGCATGCTCTTATCCCTCGAGTGAGGAGGCACCCCCCAGAGCACCAATGAACCCGAGGCTGAAACAGGTAATGGAGTTTGCTCATCACACGAGAGTGTTTGAGCAGCTCTTGGGGGCTGGGGACCCCATCAGAGAAAGGTCGGCGCAGGCGGCGGGCTTATCTCTCAATTCGACCATGCCGTCCCCAGTCCTCCTCCTCCTCCTCCTCCTCCCCTGTTTGCAAGTTTGGCCCACGTCACTTCATCAGCTTGGGATTGCGCGGCATCTCGGAAAGCACAGCAGCTATTTTCTTATGGCTTGTTTCTTGAAGATTGCCATATCCTGGGCTGCAGTGGCGGCCGCCCGGGCTTGCACCTTCATCATCGACGGTAAACCAGGCCACGCCATATCCCTCAGCAGTTTATGGAGCGGCGTCCCTCTCTTGATGGTGTTCCTTGTCTGCCGCGAGGGCGGCGTTTCTCCATCGACCAGATGTATGTTTTATTTCCGCCCTCGCGGCAGGCGTACAGCAGCTGCGATTGTGCTATTGTGCAGCGGGCCAACCGTACCGACACAAGCAGGGCTGCATCACTGCTAGGCCGCTCAACCATTAATTCGCGGCCGTCCCTACCGCCACCTGTAAGGATGCCAAGCACCTCGCCAATGCCACCGTCAGTCAGCTGCAAACGAGGCTCGACACAGGAATTCATCGGCGTAGCGGCTCGGCCCTGCACACGGTGATCGTCCAGCGCAGGTTGACCAGACGTGCCACGGCGAATTGGCGAACTTGCACAGCCCGGGCTGACATCACCCGCCACAAAAGTTGGCTCAAGAAGGATCTCTTCAATCAGAACGCGGTGGACACTCACGCGAGTTGTCCTGCCCTTTGGGCATTGGCAAAGGGGGCTGTGTCAATCCAGGTTGGATCGTCAACCATTCCACACGGAAGACAGCCATGCTTGCCAGTTTAGACAACTTTTGCCAGATGGTGTTCACAACGAGGCGGTATTCGTCACCACGTTTACGCTCAAACGGTGTCGCTTGCGTCGCGCCGCTTGGCGCTTACCTTGTCCTTCCTCGCGGACCGCGCAGCCGCCAGAGAACCCCCTGGACTACCCTGGCCCCGCCGTGCCGTACCCCTGCCGGTTTGATTCGTTGTATTAGTTTCGCCGCCTTGCCGTGTCTCTGCCGCTCTGACTGATTGTACCAACTTCGCCACTGCAGCTCCGGTTCTGCGCGTCGTTCCCGTTCTCATCTCAAAGGAAGCCCCGCGCGCTCGCGTGCAGCCCGACGCACTGGACGAGCAGTTCCACGCTTGGGGCACCCGCGCCGAGGACAACTTGCAGACCGAGCCGTCCTTCTAATCAGGGGCGTTGCCTGAGACGAAAAGAGCGCAGGGGTTTTCACAGACACCGACTCCAACATTTTCCTTTGTCGAGCCCCTCCGCAGCTCACTGGTCTCTCTGTCGCTGGCGTTTCCATGGAGCTTCCCGGACACCCGATTGGAGCATTCATGTGGGACTGCGTTGGCTAAGTCGTGCTGGGGACGAACAATTACGCCAACGAGGAACCCCACATACTTAATAAATTCCTTGTGTCGCTATTCAGCGATCCGCGAAGTGAATCCTGCCCGCGAGCCAGTTGAGCTGGCGTGCGGTCGTAGAGCCACTTGAGCCAATGTGTCTGCGTCCAGTCCCAGAGGGGTGAGGAGGAGGGTGGAGGAGGAGGAGGAGGTGGAGGATGGTGAGCAGGGGGGAAGGAGAGCGGAAGGACAGAGGAAAGTAGGAAGGTGTTGATTGTTGCTTGTCTTTCCCGGTAAGGTTCACTTCGGTTCCGCGTTGTTCCTTCGATGGCGCGGCGGCCCTCGGCTGTTCGACGGAAAGTCTCCGAGTGTCCTTCGATGGAACATCTCGAGGTGACGGTCACCAGGAGGGCGCGAGATAGGCGAGCATTGACGGACAGACAGAGCGCGGAGTGATGCAAGTGGCGATCGTAGGCACGGAAATCCAACGCATGACGCGCATCAATTACTCAATCGGCAGTCCGCACGGAATGACACGGTGTTGGTGGCGCCGCGCTCGGTGACCCCCATGAAATTCAGTTTCATGACATCTGCGGAACGCATGATTGTATTGATGCGGGCGTCGCAACATCTGAGGTTGTTAATTGATTATTTGCTGGATGTAATTTCGGCGTGTCGCGCCACTAACAGCGCGGTAGACTTGGTGAACGGATCCAGCTCGCCGTGCCATGTAGCAAAGCCAGCGGTCGTCCCAACAAATTAGCCAGGCACCTACCATGGAAATAAGTCCTTAGTCGCGACCAGGTCGAAACAAGGATGAGAGGAAAGATCCAGCTCTGTATCATCCATCCCAAATTTTGGGAGTCGGCCTCGACGAAATGATGTCATGATCCAGGGTTCATCAGGTGCGTCACCAAACACTGGCTCCTGCTTGCGCCGTTCCCACCTTGGTGTGGCAGCTCGCTATACCTGATGTGGAGCGTGTCAGGCCACCAATTGAGGAGTTGCTGTCGCTGGTACCTGTGAAGTGCGCTGATCAACGTATCCTTCCCGCGCGCATCAACGCGGACAGACGCAGAATTTTCCAGACTCACTTCGACGCCCAGCTCAACCATTGCGCTCTTCAGCTTCAAACACGGCCATTGCAGCGCGTCGATGGTAGATTTGGGCGGCATGACTGAGGACGTACCGAAGAAGACTTTGACGCGCCGGCGTGAGAAGCACTGGTGGCCTGAGACGGCCTGAGCCGAGATGTTTGCAGTTTGAAAGGGGAAGTAGCGCTTGTCAGATCCTGGGGGCTCGAGACGGATAGAGACCGCACCCTTTGGTGAGCGTTTTTCTATTCACTGTTTTGCCGATCGGCGCGGGCCTTCGCACACTCCCCTTCCCCCCTCTTGGAGTGGATCTTCGCTGTTTTTTTTGATTTCCACGAAATCACCGCTGACTCACAAGCTGGCGGCACGGGAACTACCAGCAACACCATTAATGAGCACTACTCCGACAGTGGGGCCTGGCAGAGCGCACGACTTGCAATTCATCAGCTATAACTCGAAACCGTCAAAGTCGAAACTGTCGAGCGGGTCACTGTCGTCATCGGAACACTCCACGGCGTACCGATGGACAAACGTACCAGCATCCGCAGCTCCCGAAATCGATCGGCTCAGTCCTGCAGCCGGTTGAGCAACAGGTGAAGTACTGAAACTGAAACGGCGGCCTTCTCCAGGATCGTGAGGAAGTTGACGAGGAACCCAAGCACAAGAGACAGCCGTGGCAGCTATGCCATCCCTCTGCTCAGACTGCACCTTCTCGCCAACCGCGCCTGCGCCGAACAGCGAAACCTGCTCCTTCTCCTGGACAGCCACGTCCTTGACAGCCACGCCGCAATCCGCGGCCCCACCCTCAGTGCCTTCACCATGGGGGGTTGGGACCCCATGGCAGGATGCAGAGCAGCAGCGGCCCCCTGCACGTCCAGGGAGCCCTCCAGCTCGCCGTCGATGCGGAAGCACCCCGCGAAGTCGACAACGTCGGTGTTGAGCGCCTCCTCCGAGCCCTGGCCCGCGTCGTACATCTTCCTCTCCTCGTCCGCGGCCGTGAGCTGAGGAGCCAGGCGCAAGCCC